CATAAAACATTGCACTTCGGGGCATTCGCTGGTTGAGCATACGTAACACGTGTTCCAGCCATCTCAACTGATGAAGTTTCCCTACTTCATCAATCGATTTGCCATCCTTACCTGGTACCCGTTTACTGACAAGTGCATTACTTACTCGGTGGTCCCGAGTCTCAAATGACTTTGGACAAAAGTAACCAAATATTACCTGCTCAAATACATAGCAGTTTTAAGAACTTTTATCCATATAGATTGTTTTCTTCTAAATTGTGAACAAAAGTTTACTGTAATTTTTCGACTGTTAATTTCAATTTAATGAGATTCTATACTTTAATATATTTTATTTTTCATGAATAAACTTAACGATTCATAACCTAAATTAATAACAGTTGTTTAGACAATTTTATTCTCAGAATAGTTCAATCATTTTTCATTGGTTGCTGTGTGACCTAGTATATTACGATTTTATTTTGATCAGAAGCGGTTTTATGGAGATTTTAGTACTTTCATAGTTGAAATCATGAGTTAATCAAAGCTAGACCATCATGGAAAACCTTGAAGCACTGGACGGCCGTTCCGTCCTATTGTGGGACTCCCCAACAGTGAGCATCCACGATCCCGACTCGTGAGACTCGAACCTTGTACCTACCAGTCTTAGTGGTCTATCGGTTAAGTGCTCTGGCGCGAGACCGGTAGGTCCTGGGTTCGAATCTCGCGAGGTGGGATCGTGAATGCGCACTGCTGAGTAGTCCAAAAATAGGACGAAACGGATATCCAGTGCTTCCAGGTTTTCCATGGTGGTCTAGCTTCGACTGATTCATCTTGAGGGAGTTTATCATCCTAACCTTGCAGAACGTCAATGACTGCGTGAATATTTCAGTTATAAGATTTTAGACTGTTGTTCGAATCAATCAGAAGGCATCAATTCTCTAAATACTATAAATAAGGCATGCGCATAAGTACCATCTAGCAGGAAAATTATGTTCAGAGTTACTGATCAACTACCGTCAACTATCTAAAATCAATACGACTGCCATTATTGGGTGCTTAAATACAATCAGCAAGTAATCATCCTGAAAATACTCATCGTGTTTGCTGATTCTTGTCACCGAAATGCACTTGTAATCACTGTCGGCACCTACCCCAGTCATTTGAAATTTAATTAAACGTCAGTCAGAATGCAGCCAAATATGTGAATCGAAGGGTATTAAAGCTTTAAATGACAAGTGATGAAGTTTTTTTTAATTATTTGTCGCTTAGTGAAGTGTGCCATGAAAACCTGAAAGCACTGAACGGCCGTTTCGTCCTAGTATGGGACTCCTCAGCAGTACAAATCCACGATCCCGCATGGGGTTTTCTAAGAAATTCAAATTTCCTACATTTTACGACTTGTGTCAGTTACTTCCTTCAGTGAGTAAATCTTATCCACTGAAGCCAGTTACACTCAACCTAAAAATGTCAGAAATTCAATTTTCTATGAAATGGAGATAATCTCTGATATCAATTTTCCATGCTCAGCCTACCTCTTATAAACAGTTTACAGAATATGAATAGAAACCTCCTTACCAACTGACATTAAAAGAATGAGCACCTAAGACTAGTGAAACAATTAACAACTGTTTTATCTTAAAAAATTTTAATATTATTGATCTAATCATTAATCGTCACTCTTCGGTTTAGTAACCATTTGATTAGTGACATTAGGTGGCTGCTGACACGTCGAATGACATGAGTTTGCATAAAGCTCACCTGATTGAACAGAGAACTTCACTAAATCAAACCGAGATGATAACAATGATCATTGATTGACAGAAAACTGTTGTTCCTATTACACAGTTTACTTTAATGAAAGAATATTTATACTTCAGGTTTTTTTTCCGAAGGAAGCTAGATGAACAATATCTAATATTTGAGCATTTGTCTTTAATATTTGTATGTAATATAATCATTCAAAGGAATACAGTTAGGAGATTAATAAACCATTCTGTTCAAGCTCTTGGTTATGATTATTCTCCTTGATGATATTTTATATGTAATTGGGTTAGTCTTAGTCGGCATATATGCATCGTGTGCGAACTGCTTTCTATGGTAAAAATATTAGATTACTGACAATAATAGTAGTATTGCGCACAAAATTGGTCATTAAAAGTTATCAAAGATAATATTATTAAGTGCTCGCGCGCGTGGCTGATAGGCCCTGGGTTCGAATCTCACGAGGCGGGATCGTGGATGCGCAGTGTTGAGGAGTCCCACAATAGGACGAAATGACCGTCCAGTTCTTCCAGGTTTTCCATAGTGGTCTAGCTTCAATGGACTCATGATCTCAACTATATAAGTAAATATTATTTATTTAATATTACATCGAATTTGTAATCTGAACTTTAATTACTAACAAAACGAAGTGAATAATTTCAATCTCATAGATAAATCTGATATTTATGAGTTTTAAAGCCACTAAGTCATAATGAAAATGTCAATAACGTTTCATTGAAGAATCATATGACCTGTTTGTTGATTTTTTATTATTATTGAACAAATTCAAATGAAGGTCAACTGATTACGATTGGTTGGCTGGTTATTAATCTTGGTGGGTTTGTAATACGTAATATATGAAATGGTTACTTTCACAAACTGTAAACAGAACTAACCACTTTTGTGTTGACTCAAAAACATTATAGTCTTTCAATTCGGATTCATGATTATTTTCTTCAAGAGTATTCATAGTCAAGTGAAACATAAATATTCGTCCAATTTAATACTTTATAATTCTTATCGCTATTCTACTTATCTGCATTAATATAGAATAAGGTATGTCCATTGATTGTGAATAAGAATTATTAATCTACTTACTATTGTATGTTTGAATCTTCCCATTGATGCTTAGGACTGAAACTGACCAGTTGCAGTTCTAAGCATCAATGGGAAGATTCAAACATACAATAATAAGTAGATTCAAACTTCACCCCATTGCACAAGAAAGTGGCTATCAGGACTCAGTAGCTGTGTGGATAACGCGATGGCATTTGAAGCGAAAGGTACTGGGTTAAAGTCCCAGAGTGAACATCAACTCTGAGATGCAGGTACATTCAGCTGACAAGTCCGAAATAGGACGAAACGCGCGTCAAACTGGATTCCACTGCTAGTCACTATCCATCTTTGCTTAAGAATTAATAATATTCATAAGTTCTAAGCAACTGATCAAAATCCACGAAATAAATTAGCCTTACTCTGCTAACCTTATTGATATACTTTAAATTATCAATGAGAAAAATTGTATGAAATTTATAGATAATATTTTATCATAAGTTCTTATTGTACAGATAATAATACCATATTTCGTCAATCTAGATAGTTGGAGCTCGCTATTATAGCGCTACCATTGTCACTCGTTATTTGTAAGAACCAAAACATTTTAGGAAAGTTTTTATTGGGTTGAAGTTAGCTGTATATCCTTATTTACAGAGTGTAAAGCTTATATCATAAATTTCTCAAGAATCCTGACGTCATTAGAAAGTTTAGGGATACACTTGAAGTAAAGTTAACATTCCTTCGCCGACATATCGAGTCGTCGTGATGTTTCGCCTACAATATTACAGTCAGTATACTTGATTTTAGAGACATCATTCTGTTACTTGTCTTTTTGTACTTCACTCTTTGACTTTAAAATGAGATTATTGTCATTCTGGAAAACATATATATCCTTATGTTTTAGGATCCTTTGAATTTCCTTGCCGGTATGGTATTACCATCGAGTTAATCCATTCTTTACCTTGACCGATCATTTTTTCCAATTCGATTTCTTTGTAACTAGTTGGTGAACTCCACTAATCAGATTCTTAGTGATTGTTATCTTTTTTGATAGGACACGTGCTGATCTGGAATCTGGACATTTCACAGAATGTTTGGTCATAAGGAACTTATTAGTTTTGAAACAACTGTTTTCTTTCGAACGAATTGTCCAGAAATGAAAGTTTACGGTCAAGAGATGCAGTCTCTTTACGAACTTAGTGTTATAAGGTATAGGGTTAGGATGCTCAAAAGATTCTAATCCATCTCGTTTCGTAATAACACGGTTGGTATCTGCGTTCCTTAAACAATCGAAAAATAAATTAGTTCCCAGTCAGTAACAATAGTGGAGACTGATCTCATAGTTACAAACTTCTGTTCATCTGTCAATGACTAGACAAGAAAGGTTATTTAATCACTAATTATACCTGTTGTTCTGTCCACAACATTAACTACGTCCTGGATAAGCTATTTTGAATTTCAGTAAACAAGAAATCCAGTTCCTGTAAGTTGTATTCACATTACGCGTTGAACAAAAATAAATTTTGTCATAAACCACGTGATTAATTAAAACACTTATTTACTTCTTAGCCCTATTGTCATTTGACTGAAAGACAAAAGATGTAATCGAAATATATCATAAGATTTAACAATGAAAATCTAAAGTACACATTACTTATATGGAGAGTTTGAATAAAAATGATTAATTAAATTTAGATCAATTGATCCTTTGTCGCATGCACTTCATGAGGCCAAACGATATGATGACGATGATCATAATCTTGGTATTAAATTTGAATTTCAAGGGAGGGCTGTGATACTGCCCAGGTGCCCAAACCAAGCAGGTGGTTTTCTTAGGGGACCACACCCGAAGCCTTTAACCTAAAGATCCGATCCACAAGGCAGTAGAGCATCGTGAAGAGATGCAGTCCCATGGTAACCGGTGACCAACGATTGATTTGTACGCCATTTGTTCCCTCACGATACTAGAGCCAGCCCATGTGCACCATTGGTTTGGAATCAGCGTTTTCCAACTCCCCTAGGTGGACTTTCCGTGTCCACCAACCCGCTTAAAGCGCCGGACATTCGCTTTTCGTCCTCTCACTTTCGTAAACAACACCCCCGCCACGAGAAGGCAGTGAGTAGGACTTCCCTGTCAGAGGCTATATATTCGCGTGGCCATGTGAGAGCATTTGGAGAGGGAGAGCGGACTCTCCCCACTCTCGGCCGTACCAGGGCATTTTGGGGGGGGGTTAAACTCTGTACGACATTACGGACATATCTGTAAGCTACACATATGCACCGTGTATTACAAATATTGATTTTATTTGGCTATCAATCCGCTATAATTTGAATGGATCATATAAATGATAACCTCCTATCAAGTGAATGAAAAGTAAGTGTTTATGTGCAACTATTTTGGATATTCACAAAGTAAACAAAAAAGACAATAAAGTAAAAACAATATTGGTCTTTTCAAACAAAAACAAACAGCAAAACTAACAAAAAAAAGTTATCCAAAATCGAAGCAATTAGAAAATAGAACTACAAATTGTTAATAGTGTTTATAGTCAAAAGCTTACATAATAAAACAATTGAGTAAGTGTAGGAGAGTTGTTTTATGGAATTTTTCAGTGGGAAGCAACAAAATAGTAAAGTATCATCTTTTTTTTCTTTCTCATGCAATAAATGAAAGTTAATTTAGATTACTGAAGAAATTATAATTATGCTTATCTCTCTCCTTTGTTCAATTTTTTGTTATTTATTTACTTATTCAATAAAGGAAGGAAGGAAGGTCGAGTAAACAATGCAGAAATGAAGTTATTGATAATGGTCATCTGTATTTTTCTTCTGTACAGGAACCAATTGGTTTTTATTTATTAAATGATTATAGACATAGCAGAAGACAAAAATTCTTCAAAACTGAATTGTGCATATCCATTCCTATTTAAATCATACCGTCTAAAGCAGTTCGTGAGAATCTATGGGAAAGAAGACAAAAGGTTGATTTAAAAAGGGGAGAAATTTAAGATAAAGAACAGATGTTTATGTTAACACATGTTAATTTTATCAAAAATGTGAATGATAAATTAATCTATAAAGCATTTAAGAAAGAAAAAGAATTATCATGCCCATCCGTCTAACTCAGTAAACCTGCTACATTAAACTTGTTTAACAAGAAATTTCGTCTAAATCGGGATGAATAATTGTACAATAAATAGGCGTCCAAAGTCCTCAGCGTTTGGAATTTAAATAGAACCATCATCTGGTTCGATTTCCTTTACAGTAACAGTCAAAATCCAAAATAACGGAATACAAATAGGAATCACAGAATGTGTGAGGATGGTCCATAGGTGAAGTTGAAGAAGCTCTAAGAAGCCCAGAAGGAGTCGAACATATTCCATCCAATCAGCTTTTGGAAGAATATTCTAGGATCACTACGAGTAGCTTCTCTATTGGACAATACTAATAGCCTCCCGTGTGTGAACTGGATAACTATAATGATGATTTCGTTTCTACTAAAAACTATAAATACCTGACAGTTTTGTACCTTAATTGACACTATTTGGAATAATATTTCGTCCGCTTGTCTTCTGTTTTTGCGACTTGGGAGGGTTCTAGTGTTCGAGTGCTCAAGTTATACGCAACATACTAAAAGTCCAAGTTCAAGATATAACAATGGCAGTGTACTAAACGATTGTCTAATAATGTCATGATTTTCTATGTGCCTTTTTAATGTGAATATAAGTCACTTGATGTAGAGTTTGGTGAACGTTATAGTAAAATGAATGTATTCACGTATATGCAGATCTGATTTGAAAAAGCTGTTGAGCATTTATAATCGTAGGTTATGATCACGGATCATTGAAGTAACTATGAATTTGGTGTTCATTTTGTTGGGCCAATGAGGTGTGGCAACTTGAACCAATGCATATATGTGCCTGGTCCTACGTTGTAGCCGACTATGATCAGGAATGAAATTAGTCAATATGATGCTTACTTACTTACGCCTGTTACCCCTCATGGAGGAGCATAAGCCACTCACCAGCATTGACCATCCAACTCTGTCACGGGCAATTCTTTTCAGTTGCCATTCATTTTCTTCAGGTCTGCTTTCAATTCTGGGCGCAGTGTGTCCTTTGGCCTTCCTGTTTTCCGATTACCTTCAGGATTCCAAGCTGGCGCTTGCCTGGTGATGCAGTTTGGTGATTTCTTTGATGCATGTTTTATCCACTTTCAACGTCTTTTCCTAATCAGCTGGAACCTGGTTTGTTCTCTCCCATAGTAGGGTGTTGCTGATGGTATCCGGACAACGGACATTAAGTATCTTACGTAGACAGTTGTTTAGAAATACTTTAACCTTTTTGATGATGGTTGTAGTAGTTATCTGCGTTTCAGTTCCGTACAGTAGAACTGTTTTGACGTTCTTATTGAAGATTCTGACTTTGATGCTGCCTGACAGTTATTTCGAGTTCCAAATGTTCTTCAACTGTAAGAATGTGACTTTTATTTTGCTAATCCTTGCCTTTTTGTCTGCATCAGATCCTCTTTCTTCATTGATGATGCTATCCAGATACGTGAAATGTTCCACATTTTCTCCATTAAATGTGATTAGGTCGATGTTCTCCGTGTTGTATTTGAGGATCTTGGCTTTTCCCTTGTGTGTTGAGGCCTACTGATGGAGAGACTGCTGCTACACTGGTTGTCATCACCTGAATTTGTTGGTGTGTGTGGGATAGAAGGGCTAGGTCATCTGCGAAGTACAAATCGTCTAGTGGGATCCAACCTGTCCATTTTATTCCGTGCTTCCCGTCAGATGTAGAGGTCCTCATAATCCAGTCAACCACCAGAAGGAAGAGAAAGGGGGAGAGTAGACAGCCTTTCCTGACTCCAGTCCTTACTTGGAATGTGTCTGTCAGTTGTCCTCTATGCACCACTTTGCACTGTAGTCCGTCGTATGAATTCCGGATGGTGTTGACGATCATTTCAGGTACACGATAGTGTCGAAGGTTTCATAATGTCATCCTATCTACACTGTCAAATGCTTTCTCATATTAAACGAAGTTGATGTATAGTGACGAATTCCATTCAACGGATTATTCAACGATGATCCGTAGTGCCGCGATTCGATCTGTGCACGACCGATCCTTATGGAATCCAGCTTGTTGATCTTGAAGCTGTGTCTACTGAGTGTTTATCTGGTTTGGCAACACCGTTGAAAACCTTTCCTGGTACTGACAACAATGTGATGCCTCTGTAGTTCTCACATTTACTTAGATCTCCTTTCTTTGATGTCTTGATGAGGTGTTCTTGCCGGTCCATTGGCACTTGAGCCTTGACTTTCTCTGTTTTTGTTCGGCTGCTGTTAATTGCCGTCTTCTTATACTTCCTTTCTTGGATCTTGTGCAGGGTTCCGATAGAGACAAATTCCTTTTGATGATAGTTCTTGAGACTCAGAACCGAACCTCCCGACACGTTGAAGCTAGTGCTTCTTTGATCTCCTTCCAGTTGTTCTCCATCGTAGATCCTGTAGAGCTTGGAACCTGTTGTTGAGAGTTATCCTGAAGTCGTTGAGTTTGTCAGCATCTCAAAGGAAGACTGTATTGAACCTTTGTAATGCTGTTTCTCCAGTGTTCCCATGCTTCTTTAGCTTCAGTTTCCTATTGACCACATCTAGGTGGTGATCTGAAGCTATGCCAGCTCCGCTCCTGGTTCTCACGTCTTCCAATGACCTTGTGAATTTTTTACTGATGCGAATATGAACTATCTGGTTCTTTGTGGTGTGGTCCAATGAGATCCATGTAGCTTTGTATGTGCGTTTGTGGGTGAATATAGTGCCACCTATAACCAATTTATTGGATGCACATAGGCTTGCAAATCTCCCCACATTTTTGTCAGGTCTTTTCCTGAGCACTTCGCTATGGCCGATTGCCGCCTCGAGTATAACTGATCTTTATCGTCGTCATTGTTATCATTGGTGGGTGCATAACATTCATTGTAATTCCCTTCTTCTTCGCTTTGAAAAATCCTTTGATGATTCTGGATCCATGAGATTAAAATCCTAGTGCATTACGTGCTTCTTTTGGACAGCATAAGAGGAACTCCCTGTGTGTGGAACATTTTCTTCTTCGTGACCAGAGTACAGCAGCATCTCTATCGTACCTAACCATTGGTGTCCAGCTTGGGTCCAATGGGCTTCACTGATTCCGAGGACCGTCAAGTTGTATCTCCTCATTTCCGTAGCTGTTTGATTGGTCCTTCCGGTCCCCCATATTGTGCGGACGTTCAATGTACCCATAAAAATTGTTGCTCTGGTTGTTAGAAGGGGCATCGGCTTCGTGACTTTCGTAGAATCTCGGCTTTCATCATGAAGAGTCATAATTCTTCCTTCAACTTGAAGGGCAGAGTTTAAGTTGTTTATTCTGGTTAGCGTTTTCTACTGGATGAGGTTGTCGACCGCACGCCCAACCCCCCTCCTTTACCTGGGCTTGGGATCGTCAGTAACTCTAGAAGAGCTACAGGCGAAGTTAGTCAGTCTGATAGATTATCAAAAATCAAACTTTTCATAACAAACATGGAATGAGGATAGATAAATGAACACATGTTTGTACAAACGATACCAAAAAACTGGTTTTTTCATGACAAATGCAAACATGACGACTTTAGTACAATTCATTTAGAAGTAAAACCAAGAAATCTCTTATTTAAGGAGGCTCGTCTCATTTTTACGTAGAATATAAAGAAACTACAGTACGATTGCTATTGACTTCGATCATGAAATATGTCGGATAACGTCTAAAGCCAATAAACTACACCATCTATAGGACTCTAACCATGGCGTTATTATAGACTAAAAATACCAGCCCTATGGGGCTTTTATTTACCGCAGCTCCAGGAATAGACTAGGCATCTGTTCGCTTTTTCCATCAAGTCCCGGCGTTAGTAAATAATGTACGATGTGGAAGTCACTAAGGTGAAACCACGAATGCATGCTCAAGCCACTGAAGCCAGTGTTTTAAGATGATGACACCAACTGAATTATCGTCACTGTGCCCGAGCACAAACTGTCGGATTACCAATAGAGTGTTGCCACTAGATGTTAGCAATCCCTTAGAGACAACGACAGTCGAATAGAGTCATCAAACAACCTCAGCTCAGAGACCAGGTTTTACAAGCATAGAGCAAAACCGTTCCCACCGATAAGCTATAAACCCGACCTTTTACAACCAGAATGACGTCGCAAAGACTCAGATCAGCATAAATCGCCAAGACTCTCACTATAAGTAATTTGGTGCCATTTGTCATGCCAACACCAGTACTCACACAATTACCAAGATACATAGGCTTCCCAACTATTCCTAACGGATCGCTACAAAGCGAGTGGGTTCACATGCTGATATCGATCATGTAAAATTAGTTTGGACTTAGAAAATGGAAAGTGCATGGCAAACTTACGGAAACATTGCTAATTGAATCAGTTAGTCATAAGCTAACACAGAACCTGGAAAATATGAGAATTCGTTCATATTGTCACAACATATCAGCACAGTGATGTTGTTAAGTGCCGAAGTATTAGAAGAAGAAACAATACCAGTGGTAGTAGGAAGTATTAGTCGTAGACAACATGATTCAATAAGAAGGAATATGAAGAATAAAAAGGAAGTATAAGATATTTTTAGGAATTGAGATTTAAGGGAGGACAAAGAGTGAATTGGATCGTATCAGTGCGACTGATTCTGGGCCATATCACTTAACATTTCTAACCAATGGTTACACTGACCACGAGAACGTAAACCAAGTAATTTGCACATACCAGATGACGGCATTATATGAGGAATTCCATTTTCGCAGCATTGTGCATTTTACAGTAGACACTCGATACCTTAATGTTAAACTAAATGAACTTAGCCGCATTGATTAATGTTATGTAGAGAAAGTTAAATCATATCTGAATAGTGTCCCAGTCAGAATCTTGGTAATAATTTCTCCAGCTCGCGTGTAGTATTTTGCCTATAGCCTAGAGTCCTAATCTCTGACTAATGATGCCCTTCGATTGGCAAGATTAACAATGCATTGAGGCTGAGATGATCTTGACTCTTTTCGGTTCACTGATATGCATATCTATTGTAAGTCTTAAGTTCGAACAAGAGAACATAGCCGGAAAACTTTCGTTATGATATTTCAAGCACCCAATCTATATACTTTTTTACATCAAATATTCGCTAGTTTATATGCGTCAACTATCAGGACGTGACGTACCTCGAGTAAGAAACCATACTTTAGAGAAAATTTCACTATACATGGCAGAGAACGGGTTAAAAGGTGAGTAACTAATTAACAAAAATTACGGAACAATAGAAAAGATAATAATCAACAGTTTCAAAGATAGCTCACAATACAGGGAATATAGAAGTACAATAATTCATTTGTCTAATAATCATATAAAATATCAGGAGTAACAATCCGAAAATCGGTGTTCAGAACTCACTCTGTTATAACACTAAATGGAATGTAACGTCACTTACTATCATCTGATCATGCAAACTTCAATGGTAATAGCCACTACCGTGAGTGGAAATGTACTAAAAGTAGAACCTTCTTAACTAAATGCATCCAATTCCGAAATGAAGGTTCAATATGAATTCCAACCTTAATAATCTTCGGTTTGGGCACCTGGCAGTATCATAGCTCTCACACAATTAAATGAAATGACAATTTTTTTGTGTGGCGCATATATATCTGGTGTACCAATATTTATGTGTACAAATAAATAAATAAAATAAAATCTTGTAAAGTTTGCTTTTTATATTTTGTTTAACTAATGATTTTAATAAAAAGCTTATTTTCAGTGACCGGCGAGACTATAACTTATGGATAAATCAATCGCGTATAAGATAACAAATCTTGAATTTTGGCGCGAAATTCACTCATCCATTTGGCTAAACGGCGTCTTGGCATTTCAGCTGACGCCAGTTGGTGATGGAAACCATAAATCTAATTCGCAACCTTAAACATCAACTATGAATCATAATCCTTATTCTTTAAACTGCTTTAAAATCCCCATTTAGCCCTAGTAGGTAGGTGGACACTCCCAAGGTCACTTTGGCATCGCTCGATGATCGGCCATAAGTTATAGTCTCACCCAGTAACCTAGTTCCCAAATGCCCTGGTACGGCCGAGAGTGGGGAGAGTTACCTCTCCCTCTCGAAATAATCTCATATGGCCAGCGAATATATAGCCTCTGTCAGGGAAGTCCTACTCACTGCCTTCTCGTGGCATTACTGTTGTTTACGAAACTGAGAGGACGAAAAGCGAATGTCCGGCGCTTTAACCGGGTTGGTGGACATGGAAAGTTCACCTAGGGGAGTTGGAAAACCCTGATTCCAAACCAATGGTCCACATGGGCTCCAGTATCCTGAGGGAACAAATGGCATTGATCACGGGCTACCATGGGACTGCATCTCCTCACGATGCTCCACTGCTTTGTGGATCAGAAATTCAGGTCAAAGGCTCTGGGTGTGGCCCCCTAAGAAAACCACCTGCTTCAGTCTGGGCACCTGAGCAGTATCACAGCCCTCACACAAATCGAATGAGATTTGTGAGGCGCATATTTATCTGGTGCTTCTTTGTACCAATATTTATGTGTTTAAATAAATAAATAAAAAAGTTCCCTTAAGTACTATATATGTACTTACTTGGAGACATACACAAGCATAAATAAAGTCATCGAAGGCGATTTGTCCTTGTTTATTACGGTCGAAACGACTGATCATCATTTTTATAAAAGAAGGAGAGAGTCGATAACCAAAACAAGACAATGCACTTTGGAACTCTCGAGCATCGATTAATCCAGATCTGTCCTGATCATATTGACGAAAACACCGTTGCCAATCCTGAACATATTTAAATAAATAGACGAACTCTCTCAAATCAATGGTTCCATTCCTGTCTTGGTCAAACATTGAAATCATCAGCTGGACAGTTCTAGAGTTGAACGGAGTACCTATACCTTTAGAAATAAGCAGGATAGTCATTAACTCAGAAATATTTCTAATCCTGAAATATTGACTAATATAATAAAAGACAGAAATTGTCAAAATATCATTAAAAGAAAGTTGTTGTCATGCAAAAACTATACAAACTAACGTGATTACAACAAATTCGACTTCACTGTTTAGCTACCGTAAGACTTCACGATGAAAGAACTCAGTCAGAAAACATTCGTAAAATCTTTATAACATTTAACAGCAATTACCGAGCTCATTTACTTGAACATAAACATAAAAGTAGCAGATTCTTGCTGTAATTTTTAGGAAAATAAACCTTGGTGAATTCTACTAGGGATTATATGGATAAACCGTAAAAACAAAAAGCTTTGTTTGTGAACGCTGGAAGTCCTGGAAGTAAATTCACTGAACCAGAAGAGTTAGAGTGTGAACAAAGTATATTCACCATTGTTGCCGATAGATCGATGAAAGAACACTGCTTACATATTGTTGGGTTAGAGGTATCTATGAATCGATAGAGAAAGTTGCAAAGTAGGTGGGGTATTGCTATGCATAGGAACTCTTTAGACAAAATTTTAACTTGTAAACCTCACAGCGCCAAAAATTAGGGGGGGGACACCCAGTGTTAACTCACACTTGACCGTTGTACATCGCATAGGTGGTAAGTCTTATTCTGTTCTTCTTTGTTCATCTAAACACTTTGTGTTAAGACATAATGAACACGACAGCGAAAGTCAGCTATTGATTGTATAGGACTTTAACACACCTGCCTTAAACTTCGTAGACATCATTAGTGATTCCACACATCCGACGGCAAGATACTTTTGGTCGTGATGAGACACACAATGCGTTATCTAATAACCGATTCGGTCTTCATAACCAAAGATACTCGTTATTGGGATTAATTCTAGTTTGTGAGGATTACGACATATCTTATTTCCAGTTTCACGCTATCAAGTACCACGACTATCCAGTCCTGATACTTAAGTTTTAATGCTGTGTTATCAGACTGCTAAAGTGCATTGTCTGAAAATACAAGCCATTACGGAGTCTATCATATTCACGAAATGCCCAACTGATATGAAGACATTTTACATATGTAAGGTTCAAATCGGTGTACATCAACTCTTAAATGGCTTAAGTTTCTTGAAGGTTGAATAGTTAAAAGGATAATTTGAAAGAATAACACCTTTTATAAATTTCAACTAGTTCTTTTTTAAGTCCTTATGATGAGACAAAGCAGTAAAATTCCTGTAACTAAGCAACACGTTTGCATACCATTTGATAGTGCTAGCTGTAGCTCTTGGTGATCAATATTTCCGTCCCTGTTCCTGTCTACTCTGAAATAGGCGTGACTAAAGTAATGTCAACGTTTACGTTTCAAATATCCTCCTGACTGCTTGTTCGTCTTGCATACGTCTAATGAAATACTGTAAAAATAACCGATATGACCTTGTCTTTCTAAATAGCCGCATTCAGTAACCAATACATTCGTTTAAGGTTTGTAAAAACCAGTTGACTTCTTTGTGCTCGCCTCTTATTTTTTCGAGACGACCATGAGTAATCATTAATATCTAGTAGGCAGTAGTCTAAGCACTCCACTGTATTGGTTCTGGTTATCGTGGTGTTTATGTTTCGGTTTGTGCATCTTGCAATCTGAGTGAATGAGTTTGTCTCAGATCATTGAAGTTTATGGGAGCAGGACCTATCAAATTATCAAGCAGAATATTGGTTGGTTATAATATAAAACATATTTCGGTGGATATTCAAACAAAGTGGAGCTTAGAGACGATGGTTTTCTAGATTAAATAAATCATTAAATTGATTAATAATGTTAACACTGTGGACAGACAGAAGTGTGGGAATGAGGATGATGCAAGGCTAGAGAAGAATGAGTTAGTGGTATATGACGATAATAATAGTAAATCAGTTATAATGCATGCCTCAGGTTGAGCTAGCCCACATAAGAGATTGTTCTTCATAGATGATTACGTACTTATCATGACCACTTTTGAGGCTATCCACCTTGTTCGACAGCATTTTCTATCTGGAAAGCGATGTTCGGGACAAAAGAGGGACTTGAAGTTAACCTGAAGGCAACTTAGTGATTTGTAAGCATGGATAATGTAATGTCGTATGTCCCAAGCAAAGTCATCCTGCAGACAGGTCACTGAACGTCGAGCGACTTACTAACTCTCGTCAAGCACAAGGACAACCAACGTGCGTGAATCGACTGCACACCATGGAGAGTAACAATGGTTTCGCCTTATATTTCTTTTAGACCAGAGAGGAACAACAAGAAGCGAGCGCAAAAATATTATTCAGTTTATATAAACCTGTGATGAAGATATTGGGTACTCTGTTGCAATATGGGAGATTGGTTGGTTGTAATGTAGCGTTGTGTCATGGCCAGAGAACTCGTGTTAAGCCCTCTCAGTTCCTAAGGTTTATGAATAATAAGTACGAGATCCAAATGTAGTGAGTTGTGATGGGCGTGGAGGTGAGAACGCACCAATAGCCTTTATGTTGTGTACTTTTTAGTGATGTGATAATCCCCACGATTGTTATTTCGTTTACATAACACTGCTTTGGAATACGTCATGTCAACCCTGGAACTCCGCAAACCTCTGTGCTGGCCCGTTCGTTGTCTACTCTTTTAGGTTTCCTTGAAGTTTTTCTTATCAACAACGACTTGTCATTTTTGAACTCTAATAGTTGGAGAATCCTCAGCTGCTGGTTTCTACTACATCAAGATGGCTCCTTCTGCTAAGTGATCAGGGTCCAGAATCTCTTGATGGATGAGTTAATCTTCCATCCTATTTTAACAACTGCAGAAACAGAAAATAGCTTTGTTAGTTCTCATAACAAGTAAGGTTCATTGTTTATTTCTTTACTGATTGTTGAAAGGTTTCCTGCTTTCCGGTAGCATACTCTTCGAAGCTGGGGAGGGAAAAAATTGGTGAACTTCGTCCATTATCTCTCAGGTGAGTTCCTTAGTGTGTTAGTTATGTCCATAACTAACCAATCAAATCATTGCTTAAGCTCCCACCACGTTAACATGGTCTGATGTGTCTGTAAACTATCCCTGTTGCATGTGACCTACCAATTGAAAGACATTATTATCCTATTATATTAGTGTGACTCATAAATTTATTCATTTTATTAAGACACGCAATACTGGTCGGTATGTTTGTGCGTTTCACTTAATGACTGTAATTCTTTTATTATTGTACTAATCTAATTGTTTTTATGTTCAGAAACAGATAAAGTTTAAAGCCAAGTTGTCCTTGTTCTGACTATAGCTTTCACATAGACTCTGGGATCGCCAGTATTGCGTTTACAGTTTTAATAGTATATCTGTAGGACAAAATAAATCCTACATAGTTTCGACCAGTATCTCATCAAAAATTCACACATTGAGTACTGTTAAATGTCGATGGAGAATCATAAAACGGATCAGATTCCTGAATTGTCTCCCCACTATTCGGAAACTCATAATGATGACCAGTTTGGAGGAAATAGCTGTCGAATGGATCCCTTGTTAGAGTTAGAATTAGCTAAAATACGCTTAGCTCAGACAGAAAGAGAAATCGAGTTAGAACACTTACGTCAGAAGGGAAGAGAACATTATAATCAAGCTGTGCCTGACAAAGCGATGTACAAGTCTACATTTGCCTCACCTGCAGTTGATATTCCTCCTGGAAAGGATTGGATAACAATGATATCTAGAGCTTTAGACCTACCAAAGAGAGAGATTATAAGGTTTAATGGCAATCCCATGAACTATTGGAGCTTCATACGAAATTTCGAAGACTGTTTTGACGAAAGAGTTGGATTCCGATCTAGGTTAAACTATTTGATTCAGTATTGTGATGGTGAAGCTAAGGCTACCATTGTTCACTGTGCATTGCTTGAGCCAGAAGAAGGCTACCGAAAGGCGTTAGAGCTTCTTGAGGAATCATTTGGTCAGAAGCATATCGTGGCCCATGCATTTATTGATAAGATGCTGAATATCCCTGCTATTAAGGGGACTGATCCAGATGGTTTAAGAAGACTGTCTCGTGAGATGCATGTTTGTGAGCTCACACTCACGCAGATGAACTATGTATCCGATCTTAATTCTACAAAGACCATCGAGTGTATGTTCTTAAAACTCCCACTGCATTTGCAGAGAGAATGGGTTAAAGTTGCATCTAGGATTCTTAAGACAGGTAGAGAGCCTTTGTTCAAGGACCTTTGTGAATTTGTGAAGGAGCAATCAGACATTGCTAATACTAGGTATGGATTACTTGTCAGCGGTGATATTTCTAACCGCAACCAAAGGCAATCAGTTGCCGTTACAAAAAGGCCCTTTGATTCAGAGTACAAAGCCAGAGTGTCGTTTGCTAACACGAGTGAGTCTGTTGTCTCCCCACACGTAGGACCAAGAACTCTTGGGTTATCATGTTTGTTATGTAATGGAAACCACCCCTTGGACAAATGCGAAACGTTTAGAGATAAGGATGTTAGTGAAAGAATAGAATTTGTATTAAGGAAGAAGTTATGTAATGTCTGTCTGAAGGCGAACCATATAGCAAGAAACTGTCGAGCACCGCGATCATGCGCTGTCGATGGGTGTGGTTGGAGACACCATACCTTGTTACACAGAAAGCGGGAGGAGCAGAGCGATAGTAACAGTAATGTCCATATTAATACCCAACTCTGTACGGAAGAAAGTGCTAAGCATGTACAGGGACAAGTAGCATTTGCGATAGTGCCCGTATTGGTAAAAAATGGAGAAAGATCATTTCAGACTTGCGCTTTCTTAGATAGTGGCTCAGATGCTTCGCTTATTACAGAAGATCTAGCTATAAGGTTGGGTTTAGAGGGAGAGTCCAAAACGCTTTTACTGAAAACGCTAGATAGCCAGTCCACATTTCATTGTAAAGAGGTTCAAATAGAAGTCTCCTTCCTGGATTCTTCTTCATCATTTAGAATTCCAAAGGTATGGACAGTCGAGAGATTACCTCTGTTACGCAGGACGGTACCAACAACATCTCAGATGGTATCATGGTCGCACTTGCGTGGTGTGACCCTCCCGACAGTTGACGATGAAGACGTCAAGGTACTGATAGGTTGCAATGTACCTGAGGCACATGAGATAGAAGAGAAGAGGGTGGGAAAATCTAATGAACCATACGCTTTAAAAACTCCTTTAGGGTGGACGTTGTTTGGACCTAACATTGAGACCACGAGAAATATGGGTATCATAAATTATCTATCATCTAAAGAGGAACTAGAAGCTAGATTGGACCAGCTATATAAGATGGACTTCGAAGAAGACCCGAACCATCGTGTGCCCATGTCGGTTGAAGATCGTAAAGCCTTGGATACTATGTCCAAATCTATACAGTTAGTGAACGGGCATTACCAGATAGCTTTACCCTGGCGTCACCAGCAAAGTCTACCTAATAATAGAAAACTAGCGATGAGTAGATTAATTTCCTTGAGAAACCGATTTATCCGTGACCAGAGGTTGCACAAAGAATATGTTAATGTGATGGCTCAGTATGTTGAAAAGGGTTACGCAGAAAAGGCTTCAGGGGACTTTATTAGATGTCGAGTTTGGTATCTACCGCACCACCCAGTCTTCCATCCGAAAAAGCCTAATAAACTAAGAATCGTATTCGACTGTGCAGCACAATGTGCCGGGACATCTCTTAATAAAAACTTGTATTCTGGTCCAGATTTAGTTAACAATTTGGTAGATGTCTTCACCAGATTTCGGCGACGACCAATAGGCCTCACGGCAGATATTGAAGCTATGTTTCATCAAGTGATTGTTCCGTCACAGGATCGTGACGCCCTTAGATTTCTATGGTGGCCGCAGGGTGACATAAGAAATGAACCAGAGACCTATAGGATGAAAGTGCATTTGTTTGGTGCGACCTCCTCACCCAGTTGCGCAACGTTTGCTCTACAAAGAACTATTCTAGATAACGAAGCTAAGTTTCCTGAATGTATTATACAGACAGCGAAGGAACAGTTCTACGTTGATGATTTATTAACCAGTGTCGATACGTTGGAAGAAGCTAAATTAGTATATTCACAGCTGAAGGAGATGTTACGTTTAGGGGGTTTTAATCTAACCAAGTGGGCCAGCAACAATGTTGAATTAATGAAGTTTATTCCAGAGGAAGATCGTGTAGAAAGGAATGTAGACATTTGTTTGTCGATGGAAAGAAATGAAAGGACTCTAGGAATAGAGTGGAATGTCCGAACGGATAAGATCCTTTTCAGAGTGTGCGAATTTGATACGACTCCTACAAGGAGAACCATTTTGTCGTATGTAGCTTCTATATTCGACCCAGTTGGGTTTATAGCTCCAGTAGTCTTACCAGCTAAATTAATTTTGCAAGATACATGTCGGCAAAATCTGGCATGGGATGCAGAGCTTCCTAGTGAGTGTTTTATGAGATGGGATTGTTGGCTCAGAGGTATGAAGCACTTAAGTGAATTGTTATTTCCCAGATGTCTCATACCAGAATCGTACAAACCACTGGTTACTCAGATTCATTGCTTTGCCGATGCCTCAGAATTTGCATATGGTGTCGTGGCGTATGCCCGT